TGGGTTTCTAGCTCTTTACCTAACTCGCACTGGGAGGGTTCCCCTGGACCACTTGGACACCCCACGGCCAAAAACCCAGCCTCCACACCAGGAGGTCACTGCTGGCACTTGACCAGCACACCTGGTCCACAGGCTGCCAACAGCCCCAGAACCCACCTCCACACTGGTGAGTGGGCAAGATAACCCAAGTGCAGCAACCGGCAGCTGCTACAGAGCCGAGGGCAGAAGAGCTGCAGAGGAGCGAGCCCAGCCTGCCCACGCAGCACGGCCAGCTGAGACGCCAGAAAGGGCTCTCCCTCAGAGTAAGGGTCACAGTGAAAGAGCCCACACAATCCAAGTGATGTGCCRCTCACAACTGTCTGCCTGCTCAACAAGACTCGGCCGCTTCGGGGGAAGGCACCGAGTCCAGAGCCTCCCGTGACACCCCAGCAGCCAGCGTCCCAACCACACTCACAGATGCGCAGAGGAGCAAGGGAACTTGACCCCAGACAGGAGGAAGGTATCAACAGAGAATGAATAAGACGGCCCAGGTATCGGACTTGACAAAGACTTCACAAGTTATGTTCAAAGATTTACAGGAAAATATGGCCTCAGTAAGGGGCAGACAGGAAACCTCAGCCACTAATTAGAAATGAAAAAAGAAACAAACGGAAGTCCTAGGATTGAAAAATACATTCACAAATGAGAACTTCCCTGGAGCCTAACAGACACCTGGAGATGGCAGAACTCCGTCTGGCTGAGAACCTAAAGACCGAGCAGCAGGAATCATCAGGCTAGGGAATAGAGAAACACACGGGAGTAGGTGGACACAAGCCTCAGTGCCTGCGGGCAACACCCACAGGTCTGACATGCCCGGAACTGGAGTCCATGCAGAAGAAGACCAGGGAGAAAAAGCCCTGGAGAAACAAGGGCCGTACTGTTCCCAACACGGTGGGAAGCTGACCCAGGAGCCTCAGCTCAGAGGACCTGAGGCCGACTGCCCATCCAGGAACCACACTTCAACACAGAACCCAGCAGGACAACCTCCCTGAAGTTCTGCAGGAGAAAACAACCACCGCCCAGAACCTCAGAGCCCTGAGAACATCCCTCAAAAATGAGGACGAGAGTCAGCCACTGAGTGGACAGGAGTGGGGGCCAGTAAGGACGTCCCTCAGAATGTTATGAAACAACTACTTACTTTCAAGTCAGTGGAAGTGGAGCCTGGGTCCCCAGCAGACCTGCTTGCGGTGAGCCTGACGTCCAGGCTGTCCTTGGAGCCAGAGGACGTGGCAGTATAAAACCCAACTGTAGACACTAACTCGTAACGAACTGTAGACATGTCCCCTTTGCCCACCCAATCTTAAAGCCAGCCAGTGGCGTAGACTGTAACCACAAGCTCCTCCTATCGGAGCAGGGGGCAGCCCCCATCAGGGAGGAAAGCTGGTGGGTACGGCTGGTGCTGCTGGTGCACCTGTCAGCCAGGGCAGCAGCACGCCCTCAGGAAGAAGTGTGTTTGCCTGGCCAGCCCAATCCCAACCACACGGGTCTCTTTCCAGCACCTCAGCACTGCTGACCACTGGATCTAACATGGGGCTCCATACGTCACCTGGGGGTCATGGGAACCCCTTCCTCAGAGGGGGCCTGTCCCACTACCTGCCGTGGCCTTGGAAGGGGGGAGGAAACTGTGGTCCCCGAGGCCCACACGGGCCCAACAAGCACGCAGTGAACAAGTAAATCCACACAAGAACCAAAGCAGGAAAATCCACTCCTGAGCTCAAGGAGAGGCGCCTCCTGGGTGGTCGGGACACCCGAGAGGTCGTGTGCGAGACAGGGCCTCTGTTCAGAAACGTGAGTGCTCAGGCACAACGGCCATGCCTGTAATCCCAGTGGCTCAGGAGGCTGAGGCAGGAGGATTGCAAGTTCAGAGCCAGTCTCAGCAACTTAGTGAGGCCCTGTAACTAAATAAAATATAAAAAATAAAAGGAACGGGCATGTGGCTTATGGCAAAAGTACCCCAGTACAAAAAAAAAAAAAAAAAAAGTCAACCATGAGAGAGGCATTAATAGGGAGCCATTCTCTTCTGAACAAATTTTTAAAACATGAACTGAGTCAGCTTTGTCAGACACCCTAAATATATGTGACTAGAGATAATGTATGTACCAAAAACCTTAAAGGAACACTTTACCATGCTGGTGTTCTCCAAACCAAAGTGATCTGTAATGGTAATCTCCTTTGGATTTACATAGAAATAGCAAATTTAATCAGGTATTTATTTATATCTGGGGGGAGGGGTACTGGGGATTAAACTCCGGGGCACTCAACCACTGAGCCACATCCCCAGCCCTATTTTGTATTTTATTTAGAGACAAGGTCTCACTGAGTTGCTTAGTGCCTCACTTTTGCCTTTGAACTCGCAATCCTCCTGCCTCAGCCTCCCAAATCACAGGAATTACAGGCGTGCTCCACTGTGCCCAGCTACTGAGCATTTATTTATGTCATTTAATGTTCTGTAACTGGATAAAGGTAACCTGTTATCAGTAGGCTATATAAAATTTTGTGCTACTTTTTACACTGGAATAGGAATTTAAATGTATTTTTGTGAGATAATAAGGAGAGTCTGATTTGTTCAAAGGCTGACACTGCAAAACACAAAAGCACTTTGCCACTTTTTCTACCAAAAAAAAGTTAGGCGTTCTCTTAGTTTTTGTTTGATTCATGTTTCAGATGTAATGCTGTACTGTATTACTTGTCCAGAGCCCCTCCTTACCTGAGACAAGGCTCTGCCTCTCACCCTACTAGCATGGCTCCGAAGTAGACCAGACCTACTTGGCTCATTTAAAGTTGTGTTCAAAGGAGAGGTTTTTATTGTAAAGATTACCGTCATCTCAAAATAAACAGGGGACACAATAGAAAAACAAATAAAGGTTTAGGATATAAAAATCATGTTTCTTGGTTCATAGCTATAACACAAACTGAATGTTCTTTGCTATTGCTCATTTCATTTTATATTTTTTCTTGTAAAAATGTATAACTTTGTTAATGTTTTGCAGAGCCACTGACTTGAGACAATAAGCCTCACCACAGGACAAACAGGATATAAAGCTGGCCTCCAGGACTGATACTGACTCCCACTTTAAGACTGGTGAAACTGGCCTGCTGGATGTTCAAAACAACTTGGAGACCAAAGTTAAAGAAGTAAAAGGGCTAAGGTAAAAACAGCCAATATTCTGGCCCTCGTCCTCTTAGGTCAGCCTAAATTCAGGGAACAACAGGACTTCTGTAAGGGCTCTACAAATCCAGTGAGTCACCTGACCTATGATCAGGGGGATCAAGAGGATCCTAGAGAGCAGGAAGCCAACCAGTGCACATTCTGGAAAAAAAAAAAAGGAGGGTTACTGGACAGGAAATGTCCCTGATGCTTCCAAGGGAATCCACATGTGGTCAGCAAGACCCTAACAATCCCAGCAGATGGCACAACTAGTAAAGGAAAAGCTAAAGGAGCCAAGAGGCTTCTCACAAGTTCCCAGAGGGATCCCTGACAAATCTCCGCRGACTCGTAACAGTGTGTACCAAAGAGGTCAATTTCCACCACCTTGGTCTTAGACACTTGGCAGGAAAGTATGATGAAAACACAGCTACACACGGACATTTAAAAGATAAGACAATGGTTCTTTTGCTTGAGATATATGTGTCAGTCCTGCTGAACGTCAGTAAAACTGGGAGGTTACAAAGAGTTAGGGTTTTTATACAGGACTTACTGGTAAATATCAGAAAAAACTCTGTCAGAATCACACGTTTGTTCTGAGTCAATCTGAGACCTTCTGGGTTTTCTGTTTTGTTCTGTTCTGTTTGGTTTGGGTGGGGGGTAAGGAAATTATGAGCTGCTGCTCAGACCCCTCCTCTAGAGTTGGCAATTCATCACTTCCAGCCTGGAGACTCGATTCTAATCAAGACCTGGAAAGAAGACAACTTCAACAGAGCTGGAAAGGACCTTCCCAAATGCTCCTCCTCACCGGGATGGCCCTCTGCTGAAAGAGCAGAAGTCATTACCATGGGCCTTTCCACCTCAGGAAGTTAGTATGACTAGGTGGACGGTAATGCCAAAGGGCACACTGAAAATGAAACCAAGAGGTGTAACAAAGGAAAAGGGGACCTGTGGGAAACAGAAAGTTAGACGGTCTATTTACAGAATATTGCACTGCACCTTAACTGGGACATAAGATTGAATTGTCGACATTTTAACTACAGCCCTTCCCTTTGCCCACCCAATTTTAAAATTAGCTAATAGCACAGACTGTAACCCTCAGCTCCTCCTATTAGAGAAAAGGGCAGCACTGGGTGGACGACCCGCCCAGGTGTGCTTGCCAGCCAGGCTCTGAAGTGCACTCCTGGGGCAGGAGGAAGGCCTGCCTTGCCCACCTCCCAGCACCATTTGATTCCTTCCAGCACCTCGGTATCTCTAACAGTAGCAAAGAACCAAGTGCACCAGAGAAGACAAGTAAACAGGTAAATAAGAGATGATGTGGTTTTTTTCCATGAAATTTACTTTAAAAAAAATTAACAAATTACAGCAAAAATAACGATGTATTAAAACTAGGTTTGTAACAAACAAGAAACTAACAAAACTCAGGCACAGGGACGCACAGRGACATCCAGGGACATCCATGAGGGCTCTTCCCCAAGCCTGTGCAGCTCACCCTCCTGCAGGTCTTCTCCAGCCCCTGCCCTTCAGGCACGCGGCCAGCCTCAGGCTCGCTGCTTAGAGTGTGAGTTGCCCTGGAGTCCCTCCCAAGTCTCCCCAGCAAACCATGGTGACCTCCCTTTGTGCAAACTAAGTATCAGTCCTGGAGGCCAGCTTTATATCAAGAAAGTGGAACTGAATGTCAGTTTCCAATGCGAAACAGACTCCAAGGCGGTGGGAGGACACGTGAACCTAAGCGTGGGCTCCAGTGCGAGTCTGCCTGCTGAGGAAGGGTCTCTAAGACACTCCCTTCCAGACCACCCCTTCAGTGCTGCCGTACCTCTGCTCCGGATCCCGGCCCTGCACAGTCCACTTTCCTCTTTTTCCTGGGCCCGATCGCTGCCAGGGCTGTGAGGTTGGCATCCCGCTGTCGCATCTGTGCCAGCTCCTGCTGCTGCATCTTTATGTTGGAAAGGAAACAAGGACCATCGCTTCATGCATGTTTTTGCTTAACAGCAAAAGCAAAGGTGCAGATATCAAGCGCTCTCTGAAATTTTCTAAACTGTAACTTCTTTAGTATTTTGGCTTTTTTTTTAACAGCGAGCATATTCTGTAACTAGAAAAATAAGTATTTTTTAAAAGCAATAGATGCTCAACTTAAAACACCCAGAGAGTAAAAACAAGTTTAAGTATAGAGAATAAGTCCCACCCACAGTCACTGTTAAACCTAAAAGCAGGATACAAGCTGTCTGCACTGGAAAACACCGTTGACAGGTATATCTTCACATCTGCAGCATTTTAAATAGCTACATCAATGCCGTGCTCAGGAACCCCATGTGGTCTCTCCTGTCAGTCTAGGTGACATGGACTTCAAGCGACAGTGGACCCTGTGGCTGGTGAGCTCACCTCTTTCGCCTTCTGCTTCAGTCTTAATTGTTCTGGGTCTTCTTGTCTGGATCGAGACTATTTTTGAAAATTAAAAGGAAAAACAAATTATGACCTAAATGTGCATCTCCAAACAGATGTGTTAACCTTATTCATTTCACAACATTTTCTAGGTTATAAGTTTTTTACACGCTTATAGCCAAAGGCTGGAAACCTCGGCTGCACACTATGGGGAAAATCATCATGCCACCAGGTGCAATGGATCTTAGGGATGGGCTTGACTGACACTACCAGCTCAGCACAGGTCTGGCTCATCGGGTGCAAAGTGGGTGAGGCGGCACAGCCTTGCAAGCTCTAGGGCTGAGGCAAGGGCTGGGGCAAGGGCTGGGTCCCAGCACCAAGCCCCATCCCCTGCGCCTCCCAGCAGGCCCTGCTGGCAGCGTGGCCTCAGTCTGACTCTCACGATGAGCACGAGGCGCCATGCTTGGCTCAGAAGGCAGTGTGGGCCTGAGCTGTGGTCTGGTGTGCAGCAGGAGGCTGCCCCACTGCACTCTGCCTTAGGTGGACTGGACCTGGAGGACGGAGGCAGCAGGAATCTAAGGAAGTTCTACATTCTGAGGGCAGAGAGCGCTCAGAGCAAACAGGCACCACTCTGCAGCTCCACGTACAAGTGCCTGGCCACCTTTCCTTCAAGGCCAGCACAGAACACCGCTTTGGTTACTCAGAACCCAGAGTTGTAGGCGAGTTTGTGAGAGCGGATGGGGGTCCCCAGGGAGCTGGGAGCAGTGCAGCACTTGCCTTTGCTGCCCGCATCAAGATCTCCCTCTCCTGTTCATCTTTCCTCTGCTTTTCAATCTGATCAAGCTGTTCAAAAAATTTGAGCTGAGCCCGGACATCGCTTGCCTGCTCGTATCTGTCATCATCCTACAGAAAAAAAAAAAAAAAAGCAAAAATATTGTCTGTCATGAATCTGGAACCCAGCAGGCTAGATGGTCTGTGCACAAGCCCCCTCCCCTGGTCTGTTCCCATCTGCAGTGGACACAGCCTCCTCTTGTCTCCCTGGATGACTCCACCTGCCCGCGGTCAGGGAAGTCTCATGCTGTTTATTTTGGGGTCTCTCGGGACAGTTTCTGTTTTATATACTTTGACATCATCTGACTTCATTTTAAATTTCCCACAGTAACACAGAAACATTTAAAGACATAGTGGCTGAGTGTGTTCTAGACACTGCTCTGAGGTGCTGACCCTGGCCCAGGGAGTGTGCAGCACCTGCCTCTCCCAGTTCCCAGCCACTGGTGTGACTGCTAAAAAGGAAGGCACATTCTGCCTTGCAGATCTGCAGCCTGCAGGTTCAGATCAAGGCCAGGGAAGGGCCTGGCACCTGCAGGTTCTGGGAGCCCTGGGACTGAGGAAGGCAAAGACTCCGTGATTTCTGAAGCTGCGGGTCCACCTTCCAAGGTGCCCTCCCATCAGAGCACCCTCCCCCAAGTTCCTGGCCTTCCTCCCTAGCCCAGGCCTACAGAGCAGCTAAAAGCCCCAAGTGGCTAAGAAAGTAAGTGCAAAGGTATACAGGGCACTGGGGACACCGCCACCCTCTGCCCAGCGTGGACAGACAGCTTCCAGACAGCCTGGATGGTCAGGGGTCGACAATAGAAAGACATTCTCCTCAGGAAAACGGCCCCATTACCTTATAGGAGAAGTTTTTTTGCTGAGCCGTTTCAGATATTTTTTCTACAAGATTCTGTAGCCTTTGCTGTGTGGCATGGGATACATAACTTACTACGTCTGGATGTAATTCCGTTATGCCGTGCTTTTTACCTACAGAGCAGGCAAAAAAAAAAAGTATTTTAAGATCATTTGCACGTCCTCCTGGGGCTACTACCTCACCGTCTCTCCCGACACTGCTCTGTGCACTCAAGGGACCGCCCAGGCAGGAAGCGTGTGGGGGAGAGTCAACTACCTGAGAACCGTCGCCATCAATCACACAAAAGTCACAACTCAGGCGAACCCCACGCCAAGACAGAGGCATGCTCACCTGCAGCCCCACACACCCGCCACAGAGCTGCGCAGGGGAGCGCCCTGAGTCTCTATCAAAGTCACAGAGCACCACGCCCACAGGTGGACACCAGGGATCCTGGTGGCGCCCACAGTGCAGACTCACCTATTTCCAATATCCTTCTCTGCAATGGCGCGGGGAGGAGGAAGGTGTCGTCCTTACAGGACCTCGTCAGCGTGCCCACCAACTCAGAGTTTGTGGCCAGTATCCTTGCACTTTCTTCCGACAGGTTTACTCCAGCCATTGACGCAACATCATTAATGTCATCGTCGTCCCTGGAAAAAAGAGAGAAAGATAACGCACGCTGCACAGAAAGTCATCAGGAGCAGCGCTGAGGTGGCTCTGACTTGGTGACAGCAGGCATGGGGACAAGAAGCTGCTGGCTGGGTCCTGTCTTCTCCAGAGGAGCCTCTCTGCCTTAATCAGCACAGCGCAGGCCTAGAGCTGAACTTGAGTTTGCACGAGGAGACTCAACCAGAGTCCACACTACCTCCAGGACAGCAAAAACCAATTGCTTTGAGGGTTTTGCACCATGGGAAACCTTCTTTTTAAAAAATTTACCACCAGCCAGGCTCAGTGGCTCACACCTGTAATCCCAGCAGCTCGGGAGTCTGAGGTAGAAGGATCACAAGTTTGAGGCCAGCCTCAACAATTCAGCAAGTCCTATCTCTAAATAAAACATAAAAAGGGCTGGGGATGCAGCTAAGTGCTTAAACAATGCTGGGTTCAATTCCTAGTACCAAAAAAAAAAAAAAAAAAAAAAAGGTTGGCGGCTACAGTGGCACCTGCTTGTAATCCCAGCAGTTTGGGAGGCTGAGGCAAGAGGATTGTGAGTTCAAAGCCAGCCTCAGCAAAAACCAGGCACTATACAACTCAGTATGACCCTGTCTCTAAATGAAATACAAATAGGACTGGGGATATAGCTCAGTAGTCGAGTGTCCCTGAGTTCAATCCCCGGTACCAAAACAACATTTACCACTAACATTAATTTATTTTTAAAACAATCACAGGTTCTCGGAAGAAGAGCACCAACAACTCTCCCACTTAGGAGAGATGCCCACCTGACACCCACCATGTGGACACCTGCTCCCAGCCACCTGCAGCCACAGCCCTCTCAGACCCACCCACACACGACCACCACCCCAGGAGCGTTCAGCTTGATACCTATCCAGTACTACGGGGTGGGGTGGTGCCTCCTCAGGTGATGGGCATCTGACAGGGAGCCACTATGAGGCTGAGTACTGGCCCTAACCCTCACCCAGCCACACTCCACCCAGTGTCTGACTTCTGCACAGGGGCTCGGTTCCATCTTGCCCAAGGGCAGCYCTCTGCTATTTCACAGCCTCGGCCGTGGCCACTGAGAGAGGCACCTGGGTAGCTCMTGCTCCTGCCTGAGCCTTGCTCTGACGGGCAGGTGGCCTCCACTCAACACCCTTCCTTGCCCAGTCCCAATCAGCCTCTTCCCTACGCACCCCTCTTTCCTTCAACAGAAAACAGCTCTCGGAGCACAAGGTCGAGCACCAGACATTCAGCAGACCTAAGGTATGAGCCGCCACACGTCAATCCTGCATCRAAGCCATCAGCCGTCTGTGGCTCGTCCCCTCTGCTCTACTTCCAGCACTCTTTCTGGACAGCCAGACGACAAGGCACCCAGGACAGTGGCTCACTGACTTTTCTGATCCTTTTAGTAGCCGGTCATCCTCCCTTTCCCACCAGGGGACAAGCACCCCTGCTGGACCATTGGGGCTGCCCAGCCCTAGATGCCCGATGGCTTGAGGGTTGGGGCACCTGAGAAGGGGAAGTGCCATTCTGCTTGGTCACAGTGGAGGCTAGCTTATAGCTCTAGGACACGTCCCTGTAAGAGCCTCTGTGCCTCTAGGGGATGCTCAGACTGGCCCTTAGCAGAGACCAAGGCAGGGCAGCCCCTYGAAGTGCTGTGAGCACCTGGCCTACGAGGTGCTGGCTCCGAGACGGGAACCTGGAGCCTTGGCTGTGGCAGGATGGAAGTGCGTGTCCACCAGCGCCAGCCAGCCAGCACCTTCCCCCCTGCTGGGGAGGAAGCAAGCCTCCCAGCTGCAGCTCCAACAGATATGAGGTCAGGATCAGGGAAAGACTCCTTGAGGATGTGGCTGCCAGGTGCCCACGGGAGCCCCGAGGGCGTGGTAAAGGGCACGGGGCTCTCCTCCGTGGTCTCCTGGGGCGCTCAGGCTCATCCTTACCGAAACGAACCTCCCCCAGGCTCCTTGAGCTTGTTTTTCTGTGCGGCTGCTGCCTGCGCGGCGACGGTAGGAAGGGCTTTGGTTCCAGGTAACACAGTGGGCTTCACCACCGGGACTGCAAAGCAAGGACAGGAGCGCGGGGCCGTCAGCAGAGGCGCAGCCCGCCTCAGTCTCCAGGGAAGGGACGTGCTCGAGAGCCAGGCTACAGCCGCAGTCCAAGCCCATCCCGAGCATCTCCCTTCCCCAGCCTCCTGGAGCACAGGAGTGCCAGCTGACAAGCAGTGACAACCAGGCCGCATGTGTGACCGCCCTGGAGGCTCGGGGCTTGGAAGGCTGAGGCCCAGGATTGCCCATGCCAGGACGAGTCGGGCAACACAGTGGGATCCAGTCTCAGAAAAGAGACTGACACAGGTCATTTTCCAAACCACACTGATGATGGTGCTGGCTACACATCACAAATGCCACCACTGAAGTCCATCTTCAATGGTGGGCCTGAGGCCACGCTCTCCCCTCAACAGCAGCACGCTGAGGCTGGCCCCGCTGAGGCTGGCCCTGCCCTCACCTGGCTGCAGCTGGTTCAGCTGGATCTGCTGGGGAGTGGTGAGCATGATCCGGTTGTGAGGCTGCCGCAGGGCGACCATGGGCGTCTGGGTCAAGGTCACCTGCGGAGGCCGGATCAGGGCTCCTGGCTTCGGGGGCTGCTGGATCACCTGGGGCAGAGCCAGCAGAGCACAGCATGTGAGCACACTCCCAAGGGCACCAAGTCCCTTCACCTGTCCCGTCCCACCCATGGAGAAGCTCTAGGAAGACACCTGTGCTTCTCAGCCCCAGGGTGCAGAAGCAGCCTGGCCCCAGAACCCAGGCCAGCGCTCTGTGTGTGGGTCCACAGGGCCAGGGCAGGGGAAGCCCAGGGCTGCTGCTCCCAGGTTGTACAGGGCAAGACCAATCCCGGAGGGCAGCACTATCAGACCTCTCTCCCACTTGTCAAAGTGACACTGCCGCCTGGTGGCCACAGGCAAATGGTTTTTCCTTAGCTAAGTGTCCTGAGATGGGTGGCCTCTGTGTTGGTCTGGGGCTGAGCTCCCCCTGAACTTGGCTCTGCAGGGCCCTGCGCTCCAGGCACAGCCTGCCCCCTGTTACTACCCCACAGGCTGTGCTGGGGCAAGTCCCCCTACTGCAGGCCCTGCCAACTCCACTGTCCAGACCCTGTCAACACAGCAGGCTCCAGAGCTGGTGGWACTGACCACTTCCTGTACTGTACCCTACCCCAGAAAGCAGGGGTGCAGGGACACACGGCTCAGATCTATACCGCCTTGCTGCAAACCTCTGGGGGCTAGGTGTCTCTGWCTCTGAAAAAGGTGCCCTAGTATGTGCACGCTACGACATGAAGCAGTCGCAGGGGACGCGGGCTGGGTTGAGGAGCATTTTGCATAGGAACCATTTCTGCAAGGAAACACACAGGTTCACACCAGACAGGCCGAGTCCCAAGCAGCTCCACTAAGGAGCCTGCAGAGCACCAGGAAAAGGCCCCGCCACCACCTCAGGCCTYGGTGTGAAACAGACAGACCAAATYCCCCGGCCAGTCAGCTGCACACGTAGACTGCAGCCCTATTGCTGAGCACAGCACACTTCCCAAGAGGAAAGTTTATGATGCTACTGGAATAATCGAGGGCCAGAGGCCAAAACTTCCCAATAAAGAGACAGCCCRMAAAGTCTCCCTTCAACAGAGTTCGCCTTGTGGGCCAGTCAGCTGCAGTGACTGAATAGGACGGTTCCATCCTTACACAATGCTAAAGCAGAGGCACACGATCCCCCACAGGGACCCCAGGGGCGGAGAACAGCCCTACCATGCCACTTCCCTTCCTCCACACCTCACCCTGCTCTCACTGCAGGAAGGCCCACCAAATGCAAAGGCCAAGCACTGAGTGGGCACCGCAGAGCCTGGCCTGCCTGGCAGGACACAGCCTGCTACGAGGCCCAGGAGCCTGGGGAGTCACTGTCCAGCCGCTCCTAGAGGGACAGAGCCTCTCGAACGGTGTAAAAACTGCCTTTCTACTCTGAGGAGTCACCTGCCTACAGGGGAAGCACACACCACCCTGCTCCAGTGGAGAACACGGCCTCAAGACGGAAGCTGGGCCAGCCCTACACTGGAAGAGAGGAGCCGTCCGTCAGCAGCCCAGGTCCACCTGCGCACCCCCAGAGCACACCAGCATCACCAGCCGGCCACCCCGTCCAGACGAGAGCTCACCCCACCTCTGGCCCCACGCCCAACGCCAAGGTTTCCCTAACCAGAGAGGGCACCCACCTAAGAGACACACTATGCCCCGTGTCGGGAGGTGGCAGGCCTGCCAGTGCCAGGGAGCATGGTTCACCTGACTGGGAAGCAAACAGAACTGCGGGGCCTCTGCCGCCGGCTATGGTCTACGCTGGAGATTACACCCAAGCTGCTTCCCCGCGGAAGCTTCCCCACCTGCCCCAGGAAAGGGCTCTCTGAGCCGTGGCTGGTGTTTAAGAGGCCAGCAGGAGCATGGGTGGGCACTGTGGAGGACCAGCAAGGCTGGCGCCTTCATACCAGCGGTGCAGACTGTGCCTGCTTGCCAGGGCCCACCTGTGTGGGCTGCGTGAGGCTGATGACAGGGGGCTGCAGGGCGCTGCTCACGGAGGCGGCCGTCTTGCCGGCCGTGCGCTGCACAGAGCCGCTCAGCACCACGGCCGTTAGTGCGGTGGTGGCCTGTGAGGCGGGTGGCTGCTGCTGCTGGCTCTGCTGGATGAAGGCCGCGGAGTCGGGGGTCAGCTGTCTCAAGGCGGGTAAACTCCTCTGGAGGAGACAGATGACAGAGGTCAGGGCTCACTCCTCGACTTCAGAACCCTCCTCCAGCTCAACAGAGCCTGCGGCAGACCCCATCACTAACCCTCCTTCCCCCAAGCAGGGCTGTTCTTGCGAAGAACTGTTTTGTTTTAAAAGTAAATTCTAGTCAAACAACAAAATCCCCAGTGTTTTTTAAAAGCCTTAAATGCAATGCCAGCAATGTCACCTGAGACAATCTCACAGCCAGAGTGTCCCTACCTGGTGAAGCGTCCCCGCTTCCCAGGAAGCAGGGGCGCCTCTCTCCACCCAGGGGCAGCAGAATGGACCGACCCGTGTCAGGGYTCAGGGTTATGGAAAAGCTCCTTTGGACCAGAACTGACTTTCTGCCCTTACTGCAGGTGCTCGGCTTTAACTCACCTTCAGGAAAGGCACGAGGTAAGGTTGAGGTGAAGAATTGAGTTCTCGGTATAACCTGCTAGTGAAATCTTCGGCTTCGATCTTCCCATCCTTAAAAATAAAACCCACACGGACCCTGCAGTGAGGCAGCTGCATGCATCCGCTCCTACTCCACGTCACTCCAGACTGGCAGCAGCAGGGCAGTCAGCGTGCCACACGCAGCAAACTTGGGCCCCCCACGCACAGGGCAGGTGTCCACCCAGGACTCAGCCACATCCCTGGCTGGCTAGGTTCACTCAACCACTGTTTTCCCTCAGTGCTTACACCCGAACCCGTGGACGCCAGGCATTGGCTGGGAGACAGACGGGCCTGAGACAACTTCATTATCACAGCCACGGCTGTGGGCACAGGGAGCACAGGCCATGCACACAGCATCAGCCCAGGTAGGGTCAAGACACCTGGCAGGAGGGACTGGCGACGAGCCTACTCCTGCACGGCACCAGAGGAGGGGCATGAGGGCCCACAAGAGAGACAGGGACAATTCTGTTCCAGAAATTTCCAAGAGAGTTGTATGTAAAGGCCAGGAAATCCAACCAGACAGGCAGGAACTAGACCTCATGCCCCTCTCTGCTGTGCTGCAGTGTGGGCAAGTGGGCAGAGGGGCAGGTGAAGGCCTGGGAGCACTGCTGCATCTTCCCAGGACTGGAGAGCCTGGACTGAAGGTGGCAGKGGGCAGAGCAAAGGTGGGCTGTCGAGAGCACCTGTGTCCATGAAAATCTGGGACCTGGGGCTCGTGGGTCAAGGAGAAGAGACAGCCACCAGGGTCCTCCCGACACAGGGTCTGGGGACAGACGCCATGACTAAGGCMGGTTTCTGGAGGACACCAGCTCTCTTGCCAAAGCAGAAGCACCAGCAGCCAGACAAGGGACTACCCGGCAGGGAGCACTGAGAGTGTCACAGGAGGACGAGCCTCTCCTGTCATGAGCCACTTGTACTCAAGGCTACTCGCTGCTGATAGCCAAGCCCAGCCCTAAGTGACAGGTCAGAGGCGGTGGCCAGCAGCATCCTGGGCTACAAAGAGGTCATGTTAGAAAGGGTGGATGGGGCCACTGGGGCCCTGGGAAGGAGGCAGTGCTTTGGGGGCAACTGCTAGAGACAACTGAGGAGTGAAGAGCAGCAGCAGGTGGAGAAGGACTCAGCCCAACAAGGCTGCAGYGCTGGGCTGGCGGGGCGGCCTCCCCTGCAGCCCCCTCTGGGAGAGASGGCCGGCAGTCCAGCTGTGCGTTCCAGTCTAGGCCAGCAAACTCCACCAGCAGAAAGAAAATGCAGGACTCTGAAAGTCCAGGAGGTGTTCAACAACCAGTTTCCTCAAAAATAAACCACAGGAAAGAAACAAGAGCCAGAGGACGGAGGTGCTCAGGTTCAGAGAGCGCCGCCCGCACACCTGGACCTAGTGTGCATCCTGACTTCACAGACACTGGGAAGGGATGCAGACCAGGTGCGCAGCAGCGGAGGACTCCRCCTGTGTCAGTGTGCCCACGCCCATCGGAGACCACCCTGGGTCAGTCAAGGCATGGGAGTGCAGGAGGTGGCCAGGGTGGGCACAGATGCAACCCCCTGCACATGACCTGGGAAAGACGGCTGGGAGAAGATGCCGCTCCTACTTCATGAAGTGCTTGAAACTCTCCATTTAAAAGCGGAACAAGTGGGGGAGGGAAGAGAAAGAAGGCAGACCCCTAAAGACATGCCCGAGAGGTGCATCTTCAGTCTCGTTCCTCCTCCCAAGACGTCCCACASTCAAGTGACAGCCACCTGCCTCTGAGAAGGGCCCATCACACCCTCTCCAACGCTGGCCCATTCTCCTCAAGCAGGAGATGACAGAGCGCTGGCCTGCGCATGGCAGGCTGGGCAGCACCCGGGCACATCTGACAGGACACAGCTGCTCTGCGTTCGTCACACCAACGTGAGGCAAGGGCACCCCCCGCGCTCCTTACCAGTAAGTTCTGCACCAGTTCTTTCACGTTAGCTGCTGTCTCTGTGGACTGTTTACCAGATGAAGCCAGCTTTATTAACGTAGACAGAAAATTTTTACATTTCTTCACGTTTTCCATGGTTTCCTGGATTCAAATAAAAAGAAAAAAGGTAAAAACTCATTAAAGATTTTCACCGTGACCTCTGTTAAGCSAAAACGTGCACACTTGGAAAAGAGAGGTAAACGCTGCCTCTAAGCTGCTTGCAGGGAGGTGAGCTGCCCCTCGGAGGCACGGCCCCCACAGGCACACGCCTGCCTCGCACTGGCCCAGGAACTCCCTCTAGGAAGGCACCTGAGATGACCAGAGTGCGACAAGAGGAAGCTGCAGGACATTCACCTTGGTGCTGCTGATCCCATCCCCACACAGGTCCCAACTCCAAGGCAGCCACTAAGATGCGTGGAGAGTACTCGGCCAAGCAGCACGAGGAAGCAAGGTCTAAGTCACCATGCYAGCTGCCCAAGGTCCAGGTCCAGAGCACACAGACAGCAGGGCTATTCTACAGCCTGCRGTGCCCTGTGGCCACTTGTCATTTTGTCAAACGTGACTGCAGAGGCTTTTGCCATTCCCAAGTCTGTACTGTCTGAAACCTCAGTGGCCCGCCCTCAAGTGCCCCTCACGGAGGCGCAGAGGACAGACAGCAGAGCCTGCCTCAGCTCCTGCAGCTGCAGGCCTCCGTGTGCAGCGCTGCGAGCTGGCAGGAASGGGACTGGGCCTCTGCGTCCCAGCCGGCAGTCTGGGACAGAAACCCAGGCGGCCCACAGCCCCGCGCTGGCTGGTGGGCGCAGGTGGCCCTGGGAGAACTGAGGAGAAGCGGTCTTACCGTGGCAGCTGTGGAGGCGCTGGCCGCCCCTGGGACCGTGCGCTGAGGTGCCCCTGCCTGCACAGCTGTGGCCGTCCCGAGTGAAGCTGCCTGGGCAGAGCCGCCCAGGACCAGCTGAGGCTGCAAGAGTCCAAAGCACGAGGTGAGTGCCTCCCATGCCGCCAAAGCCGGTGAAAGGTAAGGCTTCCTGCAGAGGGGGACCCGGACAGCTGAGGGCCGCCGCAGGACGCACGCCTGGAGACCCGCCACGGGAACGCGCTGCCCTCCGGTGTCCAGAACTGGTGGGGGCGACACACCAGTACAAGGCACGTGGTGGCAGTGTGAGTCATCTTGATGACCACCATGCCCTCCTCAGAGTGGGCAGGGAAGGGGAGCACTCCTCAACTGCCCCTCACACAGCGCCAGCCACCACGGCAGGCACAGTCCCAGTCCCCTCGACACCAAGCCCAGCTCCCCTGTCCCCACAAGGGGCCACAGGGATCTGACACTGGTGGTCAGTGCCACACACTGCTGGTGGGCAAGGGCACCTCTGCCAGACAAAGGGACACACACCAAGCAAAGGGGAAGCCACACTTCACATGGCACGACAGCTCCCACCTTGGGCCTCAGATCTCTAAACTCCCAAAATTTCTAGTTTACATGAAAAATTGTGATACAAATATTGACTGGTTTGTTTTTTTTTTTTAAATCAGTGCTTTTCCAATTTATAAATCTGTCACCATCTCATTCCTCCAATTTTTAAAACACTGCTCTTTTCTGAAGACAGAGGGCAGTGCGAGGCTCAGTGTCCAGCGCTGGAGGGCAGGYGAGGCCTCTCTGCAGGCTTCCTCCACAGCAGCAAGGGTGGACTGCCTTCACTCACGGAAACCACCGAGCAGCACACTTCACAAAGAAAAYGTGCAAGGGCAGACCGGGCGGCCAGCGGGAGAGGACAGGGGCCTGTTGGGACAAGYGACCCATCCCCCCAGCTGGTGCCCGGACAGCCTCCCTCCTTCAATGATCTTGTCTTCACCAAACCCAAGTTGAGAGCTCAACCAGGAACTTCACTCCGTCTCAGAAACCCACCAGGGAAAGGCAGTGGCAAGGACAGGGCGGGAACTCCTCCTGGGAAGCCCGCGTCCTGCTCTGCTCCGCTCAGCTGCTCTTCAGCCTGCACTCCCACAGCCACCAGCGGGAACGAGGGACGGGCCCGGGGCCAGGCTGCACTAGGACCCCCGCCCCCTCCCCCCAGACGGGGAACACTGTTACGGCTGCACTGCTGTGCGGACCACAGGTCAGCGGGCAGGAGCTGCACCCAGCATCAGCGCTGCAGGGCCCTATGGCTATGGACGCCCACAAACACCAGACCAGGAAAGACTCTGAGCCACATGCTCCAGCTGCTCCCACCTGAGTCCCAGAGAGTACGGCCTCCCTACTCAGGTGGCTCCCTGGCCAGGTATGTGCCTCCCTGGCCAGACTTTTCCCTGCCTCTGTAACAGGAGCCAGCTAGGCTGCCACACAGAGCCTCTCTACAGGTGGGGCCAGAGGCCAGTCTGTCAGGAGCRTCAACACACACCACTGGACCAGCAGCAGCAGAGCACTCTCCTCTCCCACAGCCTAAACACTATTTTTAAAACAACCCACTAGGGTTGATGAACATTTCCAGAACTGTCTGTCATCCTGGCAAAGGCCAGAGCTCACGCAAATGGAGGCAGTGCAGCCTGGTAGCTGGCGCACAGCTGGAGCAGACCCTGGCCAGGAGAACAGCAGCAGGTTCAAATGCTCCCTCAGCTCACCTGCAAATGCCTCAGCAGCAGGATGAGAAGAGCGCCCATGTCCCCAGCACGAGGGCACCGTGAGCACCAAGGTGCTGCACAGAGGAGCCGCGCAGCAGACACGCTCTCTGCAAGTACACCTGGCTGGGTCTCAGGCAACTTACTAAGGCCATGGATCTTAGCTTCGGCCTTGTGGGAAGCTTCTCAAGTGCTGTTGGTGTTACACTCCATGCAGCTTTAAAGAAAAATGAACCCTGATCTATTCTGAGCTAGTAGGTAGAGAACAGTCCCTTTCCTCCCAGAGAGCCTTCCTGTTTAAATTCATCTTGGTATCCAAAATAAAAACTCACAAGGCCTGGTCATTGCAAAGAAAACCCATACTGTGTCCAAGAGCCCCCACAAATGTGCCGGGCTACTGTCTCTTACCTGCACCCCAGGGGAGCGCTGCAGGGTTGCAGTGGGCTGTACCGTCGTCTGGGCCTGAGACACTTGCTTAATTATTGTAGTGGGGGTCACCTGCCGTGCAATGATAGGTGTGCCAGGAGCCTGAAAATAAGTTGTCGTGTAAAACAAGCTAATGTGAAAGTGATTCCACAGCCACCCAATGCACACAAAAACCAATCCTTGACGCTGACTGGTGCACTCAGGTGGGTCCACCGCGGAGTCACAATGAGCAGTGACGCCTCCTGTCTACAGCTTTCTCACCAAGGCAAAAGCCTATGGTCAACAGCTCTTCTTAGCTTCTCCTGAAACACCAGGAGACTCTGACAAGCCTACATAATGGGACCTCTGCACAAGAGCAACCGTAGGGAAGCCAGCTGTGCACTGCTGTCTCGGGGTGCTGCTGATCCCCACCACAGGGGGTCCTTGTGGCAGCGTGGAGGGGAGTGCCGGGGCAGAGATACCTCCCGGCTGCAGTGAGGTTGGAGAAGAGCTGACAGCTGCAGCAGGACAGTCAGACGGTGGCAGCAGAGCCCACCAGCAAAGCCAAGCCACAAATGCTGTCCAAGAGCTTCTTGCTCAGAGACAGGACACGCTGGCCTGGAAGGTGCCACCCTGCACTATTTCAGATACTGGGGGCCTACATCCCTCTGTGGCATGAACACACACTTGTCTAGGGGACAGGGGCACCCCCCCCCAGAGGAGCACGGCCGAGTCACAGAGGAAAGAGCTAGGAACGTCCTCCTTCACTTCATCTGCCAGCCTGCCAACCAGCCTGAATGTGGCCACTGTACCAGGTGGGAGCAGGTAGTGAACGGCTTGTGCCCACAGACATTATGGGGATGGACAGGACATCAGGCACTGGGAAGCACACAGCCGGGAACTCGGCTTTCGGCATCCTGTGCCCATCCTGCCCACAGCTCAGAGGGCAGATGTGGGGGCAGCCCTGTGAAGCCCACATGCTGCCCCACAAGAGGGGCCTGGACTTGCTTGGCCCTTGCTCTGCTCCATGACTTAGTAGCTGACTATGGCTCAGCCCTCAACAGTCCCTCGAGCTATGTGCATGCTGATGCCATCTCCACTCTGTGGAGGAGGAAACCAAGGCACCAAAAGGTGAACTGCAAGAGGCAAGGAATAAGGGCCAAGGACCAGGCCGGCAGATGACCCTGAGTATCCCACTCTGACCCCACTCAGTCAGCTATGCTGAGCTCAGTTTGCAGGAGTGGGTTTTTCTGAGCCAGCACAGCCCTGGGCTAGGAAGAAAGTGGTGCCAACCCAGGCCCCACCTGATGGTGGGTCAGAAGGCATCCACACGTTTTGGTGCCCACTGGCACAGAACACCTGACCTGTGGCGCGGCCTCCTCAGCATGCATGGTGGCATGGAGCAGGGCAGGGGCAGGCTGAGCCTGGGACAGCCACTCAGCAGGCCTCGTGTACTCACCTGTACGGTGGAGATCTGGACGGGAGGGGCACTTGTGGGGGCCGCAGGGCGGGGCGCCATGGTGCTCTGAGGCTGGGCTTGGGCGTGGGCCTGGGCCTGCATTTGGGCCAGGGCCTGCTGAGGAATCATTAACAACTGCCCATTCTCGCTCCGCACAAGGACCATTCCTGGGGACAGAGGAGACTGCGCATCAGAAAATGCTCCTCAGCCCTGTGCAAAGGACACCCCTCACAGGGGTCTGCAAAGGAACACACATGCAGGTTCCAGCAGGGTGGAGTCAGGACAGACTGTGGGAGGTGCTAGAAGAACCCGAGAGCCTGCCTTAACACAGCAGCCAGGCGGCACAGCCACACCGTCCGCCCCAGCAGCCACCTGCTCTGCAGATGCCAAAGCCTGAACAAGCACGCACCCTCCACCGTGCGGGGTGCACCTGCCTCTGCCACTGTCCTGAGCCAGCCAGTGTCTCAGCTCTGCTTCCGCCTCAAAGGAAGGGCCAGCTCTGTTGGTACCTCAAGCCTACGCCCTTGGGACACTCTGCTCCATCCACCTCGCAACCCACCTCTGTCTGAGGCACTGAAGTATGCCTGCTGTGCCAGGGGTCCTGCCTCTGCCAGCTGTGGGTGCCTGGCTGCACCTACAGGACACGACTATTGCTACAGTCCTGCCAAGTTTCCCCAACCTTGTGCCCTAGGACATTCGAACAAAGAGAGAGAGCAGGGTCCACTGCTCTGGGGAGGTGTGGGCAGTACTGTTCTTCCACAGTTGACCTGGGACATGCACAAGCCACAGGCAGGACAGGAAGAACCCCTCGCCCTTCAAGGTTCTTCAGCTAAATCTTAGGAAAGCAGCAAATCCCACCAGTCAGGTTGGGCAGTAATTATAGCCTCAAAGCAGCAACCAGTGATGTCATAAGTGCATCTGAAACAGAAACACAACCAATGTTCACATTTACTCTCCTACTACAGGTCGCCTCTGAGCTTCAGGAAAATACTGGCATCCTTGCATGGCCCAGCTGGAAAACAGGGAAGTGAGGGCAATGGACCAAGACAGAGGTGCAACCCCCGCAGGCCAGGCCTCTCCCATGGGAACCAGAACCCAGCCATCTCAGTGCTGAAGAGCTCTGACACTGCGGGGCCTCTCCTGGGCTCACCTCTAGAGTCCTGACCCAAAGAGCCACACTTGATGCTATTAAGAGAGCGTCCTCCAACATCCCTTTGAAATAAACCACGCTGAAACCACACAAAGGAGCCTGGACCCAGCTGCCGAGACTCCCACTCCAGTGCTGCCTCCACCTCAGAGCTCTGGAGGAAAGGCCTGGAGCTCAGGTAGGGAGACCACGTCTCTCCACGACATCAGCACCTGAGCAGGGCGCTAAGGCCAGGTGTCCAGCCAGCTGCAAGGTCAGAGATGGTAGGAGTCACAAGGGAGAACAAAACTGTCCAACACAACAAGAGGAGCCATGGTGAAAGCCACTTGCTGCATCTACCCACCCACTGCAGACCCTCCTCCCGTCCAGCTAGGAGCTCACCAAGCACTGTGGCAAGGCAGCCAACGAGAGCATCGCAGCAACCTCGGCTTCAGCTCCAACTTAGAATTCTTTTTTTTTTTTTTTTTGAGAATTTTAATATTTATTTATTTTTTAGTTATCGGCAGACATAACATCTTTGTTTGTACGTGGTGCTGAGGATCGAACCCAGGCCGCACGCATGCCAGGCGAGCGCGCTACCGCTTGAGCCACATCCCCAGCCCCAACTTAGAATTCTTAACTGAGCAGTTAGTGAATGAGCAGAAGCCCTTTTCCTTAAAAAATTATATCCATGGAAATTCAAAGAAATATTTTAAAACCACCATTTGACCCAGCTATTGCCCTTCTCGGACTATTCCCTGAAGACCTTAAAAGATCGTACTATAGGGATACTGCCACATGGATGTTCATAGCAGCACAATTCACAATAGCTAGACTGTGGAACCAACCCAGATGCCCTTCAATAGATGAATGGATAAAAAAAAAATGTGGCATTTATACACCATGGAGTATTACGCAGCACTAAAAAATGACAAAATCATGGAATTTGCAGGGAAATGGATGGCACTAGAGCAGATTATAGTGAAGCTAGCCAATCCCTAAAAAACAAATACCAAATGTCTTCTTTGATATAATGAGAGCAACTAAGAACAGAGCAGGGAGGAAGAGCAGGAAGAAAAGATTAACATTAAACAGAGACATGAGATGGGAGGGAAAGGGAGAGAAAAAGGAAATTGCATGGAAATGAAGGGAGACCCTCATTGCTATACAAAATTACATATAAGAGGTTGTGAGGGGAATGGGAAAATAAACAATGAGAGTAATRAATTACAGTAGATGGGGTAGAGAGAGAAGATGGGAGGGGAGGGGAGGGGGGATAGTAGAGGATAGGAAAGGTAGCAGAATACAACAGTTACTAATAGGGCATCATGTAAAATTGTGGATGTGTAACCGAYRTGATTCTGCAATCTGCATTTGGGGTAAAAATTTGGAGTTCATAACCCACTTGAATCTAATGTATGAAATATGATATGTCAAGAGCTGTGTAATGTTGTGAACAACCAATTAAAAAAAAAGAAATATTTTAAAACATTGGTGAAATAGCAACAAAGTAAGTGGCATTTTGGATGTCGCCAACTGTCAGCCATGAGATGGGCCTACAGACACGGCCAGCACACTGCAGACACGGCCAGCGTGCCTACAGACAGGACCAGTGTGGCCATGGTTAGGGCAAAGTTGAAGGATGAATCCAAAGTCCTGCCATGTGACTTAAAGCAAGTACCTGTGCCTGTCTCCGGCATTAAAAACATCTGTAACTGAGCCAAATGTGTAAGCAAAGGGAAGGACGGGTCTGGAAGGCGCCATGCAGACTTTAAAGCCATAGGCCCAACAACCACAGCTGACCCCTGAGGAAGCCCCGTGAGCAGACGTGCAGCTGCTTCCCAGGGCCATCTGAAGTGTCCCCAGTTACAGCACATCACAACCACAACCGTGGGATGACAAGAAGGCAGACACAGCTGTGAAGCGGAGTGGGCGGCCAACAGCTGCCTGGAGCACTGTGGCCGGGGTGAGTGACTCAGGTTCCCAGCACTGCTCTCCAACAGACCAGGGAAACACCCTCAACTCAGAGGGCAGCCTGGAACAGCAGCCGCCACGTCTGACCTACCAAAGCACTCGTCAGTCCTCCCCACCACTTGCCAGCCGTCTGTACCTGCAGGGCACCCCACGCATACCACCATGCACAACTGGCCAGGTGTGGTCCTCGCCTCACCCCAAACAGGGTATCTAGGCCAGCAGGCAGGGTGCTCCCTCGAGCTCCTGGAGGACAGCCACCTGGCTCTTCAGTCGGACCCCAATGCAGGCCCTTCCTGCACCTGCGCAAGGGACCAACAGCAAGGAGGACAGCTCTAGCAGACGGCACCCAGCTCCACTCGTCCAGCCCACACCAGGGGAAGGTCAGGCTGGGCGATCACTCCAGGTCCACCGGAGAGACCTTCAGAGGCCACTTCAGGGCTCGTGGGAAGGGGTGTGGGGGGGCCAAAGGTTCCAGGCTCCTGACCTTAATGTACACTCAGCCAACATGGAGAGCAAGAAATGTCACACATCCAGATGGCACCAAAAGAACAATCTGAGATTTCCTTTTTAATGAATTTAGTCTCTCTCAGTATAGAATGGAGTGTTCTTTGTAGAAATTTTGAGAAATGAAAAAAGTACAAGGAAAACAGGCATCTCCTGGAACGGCCCCCACCCTTGGTCAATACAGCTGGACACTCCCCAGGGTCCTCCCTGCATGTGGGTGAGCACAAGCACCCTCCGGGTGACCACGAGGGGACTGAGGCACTGTGGGTATCAGTGTGGTGTTCTCTCTGCTCTGCTCTGCTCTGCTCTTGAGCTTTTCCACATAATTAAACATTCTTCAGAAACATGACTCTCGTGGCTACAAAACGTGACACAATACAAGATCCACAACTATTCACAACTTCCTTTTTGGTGAAAACACAAGCTAATTCCCTACTTTTCATCACCTGAACATGCAGATCTTAAACTCAGGGCAAAGCCCTCCACCAGCAGTTTCCAAGGCACCAGTGCGGAGGCCAGGGGGGCGGGGGGAGCACCAGGCAGCGGCCTCTCGGGGATGGCCCTCCACATTTCTCCCTTGGTCCCTTCCCAGGCCTACCAACTCTTCCAGGGCCCATGCCCCCACCCACAACCACAGGTCCCAGGAAGACGGAATGAATCCTGCCCTCCCTAGAGCACTAGATATCAGAGAAGCCCAGTGCTCTACAGATCTGACCGTGTCCCTGATCCCTTTGATCAACCACATCTTTACCAAATGCAGAGCCTCGGAAGCTGCACAACAAACCAGCAGGCGTTTCCAGCCTGAGAATGTCAGCTTCTACCAACAGGCTTTCACCCACCGTCCACATCACCCGGGTGCCTGGACACAAGCTCTGGATGTAGGGCCTGGAGCCCAGGGCTCCTCCCTGGCCTGCCCACGACAAGGCTCTCACCACCTCGCCACCACGGCTCGTCCAAGGCAGCCACCCTACCCCAAAATGGGAGGGCAACTAGCCAGGGGAGAAGGAGCCCTGGGTTGTGGTGAAAGCAACCAGGGCACTGGCCCAGGTCGGAGGGCAAGACTGCTCTCTCCTGCTCCGCAGGACTCCTGCTCCCATCTCCTGACTCCAAGACAGCCACGGACTGCTCTAGGACAGGCCTTCCCAGTTCAGCCTGTGCCCGCTACTGAACAGTGGGAGCAGGCACGGGGCTGGCCCTGGGGGCATGTTGGAAATGCAGGGGCTGCACTGCCACGATACGCACCAGGAGCTCGGGGCTTCTCAGGCGACCCTCCAGCAAGTGCAGACAGACATCAGCTGCCAAGCTGCAGGACCCCTCCCCGACACCCTCCGCCTTACTGGCCCAGATCCTGTGCAGCAGACCCTCTGTCAGAGCTGCCCTGGCAGAGCCCTACGCCGTCCCTTACTCTGGTGGCTTTTGGAAAACACACCTTTTCATTTTAAGTTATGGAAAAGAAGGTGCCTAACCCTACAGATCCCTGAATGCAGGAACACTGAGGGGCTGGGCAGGCAGACTCCCAGCTCCATCCCCAGCCCTGGACCAGGAGCATGGCATACCCTAGAT